TCCATCTGAAATTATTGCTCTTTATAAAATTGAAATTCAGCTTTCTAAGCCTAGTCTAGGGAAGCTAAAAAAATTCGTGGTGCTTCACCAGAGCAGATATAACCTTAGATACCTGAGATCCTGCACACACAGGAACAGCCAGGAGGGCAGGGACTCACTGCCCCACAGCAGTGTCACGCAGCCACAGACATCCTGAGACTTTTAAACTTGATTTTGGCCTTTCCTGTATATTTTATCCTTTATTTAATATTTTATTATATTTAGTCTTGTTGTGTACTTCGGCAGAAACCACTGTGAAGAGCACTGAAAAGACTGAGTTGTAAGGTACTCTTCCCTAAAATGTGCTGAGAAATATTAATAATCCTGCAAGGCTGGGGTGTAACCAGACCCACATTCTTTCTCAGTGAAGTTTTAAGTGGACCTGGGAAACAAGATTTCAGCATAATTCTAACGTGTGGTTGTTTGAAGCATGTCAGCGTTAAATACAGAACCCCAAACCAAACTGACAGCATAAAAACAAGCATCCATGACATGAAATACTGTTGTTAAAGACTTGTCTCAAGTGGGGATTGAAAAGCTTCAGCTGGAGCTTATGCAAAGAAAATTTTTCTGCATATCCTGTAAAATTTCTTTAACAGGATCAAAGTTGAAGACACAAAGGATTTCCATAAATTGCACTTTTGGTCAAAGTGTTGTGAACGCTCAATATACTCCTTGATCAGCCCCATGCTGTGCAGGTTGAATAAAGCAAAAGACAGAGAGCAAAAACACTGAACAGAAAAATCAGTATTGCTATTGTGCCTGTTTGTTGTTTAGAGCAAGAATTTGAAACGTTAATCTTATTCCTTTTAGCTATGAATGACTCACTTTTTGCCAAAGAACAGCAGTTTTGAGCCATTTTAAACAGCTGAAGTTATCTTTATCTTGATAAATAAGGAAACATGCAAAGAGAAAAATCAAGCTCTCCAGAGCGTGACATTAGGAAAAGAATGACACCCACACCCCATAATCCATCACACTCCACAATCATACACAAATGTGAGCAATAACAATGTTTGTGTATAGTATGAAAAAAAATGGACTTTAAGATGCTTTAAGGGAAATGCTTTCCTTCCTGATATTTATTAATTTCATGTATATTGAAATTGCAAAGACAAAGCAACAGACTTGGACCCTGGGAAAATGGGACTAACAGTGAATTGGATGAATAACTTCCTAGGAAAAGAGTCCTTTTCTCTATGCAATTTAGGGTGGCCCAACATTCAGTGTTCTATCACTTAGATGTAGTTTCCTGGCCCAGCAGAGTTATTCAGAACCCACAGTAGACCGCTGTTGTGGAGATGGCCAAAAGGCTGAAATTATTTACTTAAACTTGCGCTGAAGGACAAGGTGACCTTCAGCAAACACCTTCTTCACTGACGTGGATGAGGGACACTACTTGTCCTCTGACAAGAGGCACATGAAGCCAAGCACAGCAGCAGCAAGGACCTGAACCCTGAACCATAGTGTCTCAATTGCTGGCAAGAGGCAGACTCCATTTCAGGGTGATGAAGACTCTGTGACATCCAGCTTGGTGACAGTCTGGGCTGTCAGACATGACACAGTTTCTTTATTTTGTCCATCCTAATCACTGTCCTGGCTGCCTAGGAAGCCCCATGACTGCATAGGGAGGCCTGTTGCTGCATGGCTATGGTAAACTCTCCAATTGATACTAAACATTTATATTACATAGCTGTAGAGGGCAGCCTGAATCCAGTTCCCATTTCTCTCCACTGCTTAGAGAAACCAGGTCTGGCAGTGTGGACTATCAGGTGTGCTGCCCTTGAATACAAGACTCAGAATGAACACCAAAATCTTCAGTATATCTGAGTAAAGATCTTAATTTTCCTCATCTGGAAAGCCCTGGGCTACCCACGAATCCAATAAATAAGCAGATCACTGTTGCTAAGATAATCTGGTCTCCAGTTCTTTCTGACCTAAGTCTTTCTATTGAAGCTGTCAACAGAAGAACAAATTATAATGCCAGACATTTTTGTGCTGAGACATTCTCTGTCAGGAAGGAAATAAGGAGCATTTAACACTGCTCTGTGGACAACTTCTGGAAGATAGAAAGGTGTGATTGCAGCCAATCTGCATCAGCCTTGATTTTCTTACTTTAAAAGAAAAGCATTTGATGTCTTAATTACAAGACTCAGACTGCATGTCAACCAGGTCCATTTTACACAAGTGTGTTTATTTGTAGCCTTGCAAAAGTGCAAAGGAGGGTGAAAGGTTTGAAGGTCAAGGTAAAATTAGAGGTCACAAAGAGGGACATTGCATAAAATAAACAAAATAAAAATATGTAATATAAAACCAGATTAATTTTAATTTTTCTTTAATGTAATAACCCTTATTTATTGATTAAAACTGAAAATAACATTTAAGAAAAATTAAAGGCCAAGAAAGGACTTTTCTTCCTAAATGAGAAAGAGAGGCAATCCTGATTATCTCCTGTTCTCTTAACTTCAAGGAAAATATTGGATTTACCATAATGTATGATACCTGCTCTTGTTTATAAGAAGTTTTCATGCTGTGTATATCAACATAATATCAGGGTCAACAAGGGCAGGAGCCAATTTGATTTACAAACTCTCCTCCTGCTAAAATAGAACTTAAAGTAAGTGGGCTTTGTCCTCCAGGTTCAAGAGGAGAGCCTTTGTCTCCTATAAACTTCAGTTCACCTTAAATCTTATCAGTTCAACTGTTCAGCAGTTTTGTGAGATCCCTTTTGGACCTGGAAAACTACACATGTAATCTCAGGATTCAGGGTGGAAGGCTTGAAGTAATCTAAATGTGAATGACAGAGGAAATCCTTTGCTTTAATCATCATCCAAAAGTTTTCACCATACTCTAGACAAATTTCTTCATCTTCTTTTGGCAGGTAAGTAAAAAACTTTTAAAAAGTAAGACCCACAAATTTAGTATCCAAAAAAGTTCATTTGCAGGATTTGCAATTTTCTCTTCTTCCCCCCCCATTCTCCCTCCCCACTCCCCCCACAGTCCCTTGTCCCGATGCTGCGTTCCCTTATCACTCCCCCTCCCCCTGCGGTCCGTTGTCCCGACCCTTTGTTCCCTTATCACTCCCCCCTCCCCGCCTTTCCCATCGCTGTCCCCGGGGTCCCCGGGGTTTCCCTGCCTCTGCCCCTGCCTCCCGTCCCATTGGCCGCGGCTCAGCTTCCCCCTGCCCCCGGCACGGGGTATAACCAACTCTCAGTCGGTGCCCCGGTGTCTCGGGAACACGCTCCCACAATAAACACGTGTTTGCATCTGAGCCCCGTGTCGCCATTTTGTCTGTTCCCGTGCTAGAATTGAGCCTTGCAGAGCTGAAGGGGAAAGCGGCCGCCGCTTCTCCCGTCCTCCCGCCAGTGCTCCCGCAGGCGCCCGCCTGGAGCTGGTCTCACACAGCAACATTCATTTAAGAAGTTTGCATTATTTTAGTAAAGAACAGGAGCTCAAGATAATTGCCTCCTTTGCATTCTTGCTTTGGAGATAAAAATAGCAGAAATAACACACAGCGCTTAGAGATCAGACTCAAAAATTTTCATAATTAAAAAAAAAAAAAAAAAAAAGAAGATGAACTGGACTAATTTACTAGGAAAAGAAACAATATAGCTTTGACCTCTGACCAAAATGCCACCTTCTATTGAACTACCTTGCATATGTAATGCTTCTCCCCTACGCTTTTCACATCCCACAACTCTGATGATGGTGCTAATCTAAACTTTGGATATCATGCTATGCTTTCAGTCTCTGTAACTCTTTTAATACTGCAGCTGTTTTTTACCCCTGAAAAGAGACATTAGGGCGGGGAGAGAAAAATGCAAACACATCAGGTTCCTGTATGTAAACCCTGAAAACTTTTTTAGCAGTGTAGCATGAAACTTTGTGTTAGAAGGTGAGATGGAAATCAGCCTTAGCTGTGAAGATTAAAAGCAATCAGGGTGTTATCTCTTCCAACAGCTGTTGGATTCCCAAAATCTTACATCAAGAAGGGGCATAAACAACTTGGTGCTCAGCTTCCCTATCTCATTGTGCTGATTTACTTTCAGGATGTAACAATTATTTTACGCTGGGTGAATGTGTGCAGATTGTGGAAGTATTTCACTCACAAATCCCTTAATAAGACATTGCATTCCCCAGCATATTGCCTTACCCTGCATCCCATCCTGATTGCACATGCTTCAGCTTGAGAACAAAGCTGGAGCCAAAAAAGGGAGCTTAACTTGTGTTTTTCTCATTGATACTGTGTTCAAAACAGTTATCCCTTTTAGTGTGAAACTTCCACTGAAAAGAGGCTAATGAGTGGGTAAGGAACAGAGATCCAGTTACTGCCTGGATGCATAAATTCATGTTCTCTGTTATAGAAGCATTTCATTTGTTGATTTATTAAATATTTGATTATTTCAAAGTGGTCTCCGTCACTTTATGATTTATTTCTTAATAAGAATTTAGGGAATCATATCATTTACACTCTGTGTAAGATTCTATATAAGATTCTAAACACTCTAAGCAAGGGTCTAGCTGTGTTCCTTAATGCCTTGCACATGTTTTGCTGCCCAGGATCAAGGTCTGCCTGTGCTAACACCAGTGTGGGAAACTCCTGAGGAGGAGGGTAGCCTCCCATGCACTCCTAGGTCCCTGTGGGCTGCACAGATGACACAGCTGATGAGCTAATCACAAGTCATAGTTTGCTTCATTGTTTCAGCAAAGCCACATGTCCCTGCACTTTCAACCCCTTCCTGGCCTCCTACTTGCCCTCTCTTCTATCAGCCTTTGTCTTTTTCCTGAAGGAATTCTTCCAACTTTCTCTTATGTGTGGGACCATAGTGCCTATTTTTCATCTGCACATACCCTCTGGACAGCTGAGTTTTAACACCCATAAAGTGCTCCACAAAACTGCTCCCAGTGACAACTCAGCATTTCATCCACTTTTCCCAAAACCAAACCACTACTACTTTTTGAGAAGCAGGAACACAATTTATTACACCAGCAGAAGAGCACATCTTATTTAAAGTTTAACCACTCATCTTCTAACAGAGACTGAAAGATGTATTGCTCTACAGCCAGTTATGTTTACACTACAGTTATGCCATTTCTTTATCATGAAAGAGACTGTGACCATGGTGTTAAACAGTCTTTAAGACAAACTGTGTGTGGTCATGGAATTTGTGATGTCACTCTCCATCCACACGGAAAGGAACATCTTACAGAAGTTGAAGCATTATCTTGTAGTAGTTTTAAGTATTGCTAACAAGAACTGGGTGTGAACCAGTTAAGGGACAAAGGGTTAGGTATATGCACATCTATATGTTTAAAGGGGAAGAAAAACTTTGATTCTGCTTATCTGATCTCCACCTACTTTCTTTGAATTTTTCACATGGTGATGTTGAAGCAGGAATTTGCTGTCGGTCCTCATTAGAAGGCTGCACCAGCTAGTACATGGAAGGCATATGGTTTTCTGTAGTAGTACACTTTCTCCTGCTCCCTCTCTGCAGCCAGACTGCTAATGAACTTACTGCTTATTCAGTTATAGGGCTCCTCATGAAAAGCTGGGAGGTGTTTATGGCTCCAAAGGCTCATAAATGAGAATGGTAAAATTATTCCTGCTGACTGCGCAGCAGGGCCCTGAGAACTAGAGCTAGCTCTAATAATACTGCTGAGAAATCTCGTGCTTCCAAGTTAAAGAACAAACTACCTAATTGAAGCAATACACATGTCCAAGATAAAGCATAATATCCCTTAAAAAGAAGTTTCCAGTAACTTGTGTCCTCAGTAAGAAGTAATTTACATGTACTCATAATTCTACTGTATTACTTTTTTGTTAAGCAGAGGACTGCTGTTTTAACAGCTCTTTTCTTCTTGATGAAGACATCTCTACTATCCCAATTCTACTTTTTGGGAGGTATGTGGAGACATCATGTGCTCCTTAAATTACTAACTTTTCTGAAATGAGATGCCTAATGAATCAACATTCAGACATGATTTCCAAATGCCACTACCCTGACTGAGGGTTTTGCAGATCCACAGAGTTTACTGTAGTTTTGCTTTAATATTTAAGAGCCCATGTTTAGCAGTGTTATGGACTTAGACTGTTCATGTTTTCTTAAAGGAAGGCAAATACAGTAGTAGTGCACAAATGAAAACTACTCCCACTGTACACTCATAGACACTGAAGACCGTTAATTAAAAATCATGTAGAACTGATTAATGTTTCACACCACTGCAGCTGCTGCAATGTGAAAAATATTGCCATATTTTTCAAACCTTTCTGGAGGTTTGAACAAGATCAATTACATTATGAGGCAGCAAAATGTACTTAAATCTCTAAAGCGCCTTACATTTACTTGTAACACCTCAAGGTCAGTATTAAACAGGATTCATTAGTCTGCCCAGAAGTCTTTGAATCATAGATTCATCGAATACTTTGGGCTGGACGGGGCTGGCCAAACTGACCTTGAACGTTTCTACTGACTGGGCATCTACCACCTGTCTGGGCAATCTCTTTCAGTGGTTCACCACCCTCATTGTAAAAAAATTCTTCTTTTTCCAGTTTAAATAGACCCTCTTTTATATTAAATCCATTACCCCTTATCCTGTGTGAACAGGTTCTACTAAACTGTTTGTCCCCATTTGTTTTTTTTTGGTTTTTTGGGGTTTTTTTTTGGTTTTATTTTTGGGGTTTTTTTTGTACCCTTTAAATATTTAACACCCTCAATAAAATTTCCCTAGAGTTTTCCCTTCTCCAGGCTGAACAGTCCCAACTCTCTTACAGGAAAGGTGTTTCATCCCTCTGATCATCTTCATGGCCCTCCTCTGGTCCCACTCCATCAAGTCTATGCCCTTCCTGTGCTGAGGACCCCCAAGCTGGACACAGTGATCCAAGTGGGCACAAGGGCAGAGTAAAGAATCATCTCCTTTCACCTGCAGACCATCCTTATTTTGATGCAGCCCAGGACATGACAGGCTTTCTGGGCTGTGAGTGCACATTGCTGACTCATGCCCAGCTTTTCCTCCACCAGTATCCCCAAGTCCTTCTCCACAGGTCTCCTTGCAATCCCTTCATCCTGCACCCTTTATACCAAAGATTGCCGTGATCCAGGTACATCACCTTGCAATTGGCCTTGTTAAACCTCATGAGTTTCCCAGGAGCCCTCTTCTCAAGCTTGTCCAGATTCCTCTGGATGGTGTTCCATCTTTCAGGTGTGTTGTCTGCAGCACTCAGCTTGGTGTCATCTGCAGACTTGCTGATGGTGTACGTGATCCCACCGTCTGTGTCACTGATGAAGATATTAAACTGTATTTTTCCAAATAAAGACCCCTGAGGGATGTCTCTTGTCACTGGTATCCATCTGGACATTCAGACATTGACCACTACTGGCTGATGACCATCTAACCAGCTCCCAATCCAACAAATAGTTCAATTTACAAATCCATCTCTCTTCAATTTAAAAGGGAAGGATGTTGTGGGGACCACATCAAAGTCCAGATAGATGACATCTGTAATTCTTCCTTTATCCACTGATATAATCACTCCATCATTGAAATCCTAGGTAGCTCATGCAGGATTTGTCCTTGGTGAAGCCATGTTTTTGTCAGCATTTTGTTCATAATCAGTTCCTTGTAATTAAGAACATCCTATTGCTATGAGGAAGGAAAAAAATGTTCTACCCATCTATTTGTCTTCAAACCATAGTCCTTTAATCTGTTACCCATGGAAGTCACTCTGTGCAGCATTTTAGGATATGTATGTGCATGACTACTTCCACTGAAGTAGTGGGACTTATGAACTGTAATGTATCTGTATGAATCATGTGGGGCATGGTGGTTTTCCCATCCTTAGAAGTGTTCAAGGCCAGGTTGGGTGGGGTATTGAGAAACCTGGCCTAGTGGAAGATGTCCCTGACCATGGTATGGAGGTTGAAGCTAGATGATCTTTAAGTCCCTTCTGCCAAAGCTTTTTTGTAGTTCAATGTATATATATGATTTAAAAAAACATTCCTGTTGCACACGGCATCTGGAATAGAGCTCAGGGTCTTAATATTCAGAATTCAGTAGGCTGATGGAATAGGTCTTCACCCAGAATAAGGAGGTTACAAGCATGACACCTTCTGAAAAGACCCATTTATACAAAACCAAAAAAGGAAATTTGAAAACAGGATTTTGCATTTCTTTAAGCCTTTTTAAGAGTGTTAGAAACTCTGGACTCAGTTTTTCCAAACAACTGGGGCAAACTCTCCAAATCCTGCATTCCAAGCCATACAACAGCGCTTCAAAGCCTTCCCTCAGCATGCATTAAAGTGTCCCATTCATCAACAATATGCTTCAAAAATATTGCTTTTAGATCTTTTTAAAAATAGCTTCAGGATGTGTAAAAAAATTGTGTTTTTTCTCATGTCACAGAAGGATGTTTGGATATGGTAAATTAACTTCTGCTTCTAGTTCTCTGTTGCCCCTTGCTGGGATTAGAATACAAGATGCATGCTGCTGGCACTTGACTGCTGTTGTAGATCATTCAGTTGTTTTCCTTCTTCACTTCAAGTTACTTGTAGAGGATGAACCAAACCCAGCTGTTACTGAATTACTTGCAACTAAAAGAGAACATTTGTGAGAGAGGGACTGGCATAATGGCTGACATACAGGATGTGATTTGTCCTGAAACCTTCTTACCTGTATTTTCAATGTCATCCTTTGAGGTGATCCTCTAAATCTAGAAAAGAATAACATGAAAATAGCTGAAAAAGATCTCCTGGACACTGAGGCTTTTTTTTTTTTTTTTTTTTTTCAGGCAGGGTGCCACATAAACTGCCCTACTGAGACCTGTACCTGCTCTATTGCACCATAGTCAGCTGTCAGGCACCATCTCACAGAGCCAGCATTTCTCCCTTGCAACACAGTAAATGCCAAGTTTAAAGTCATAGGGATAGGAAGATATTTTCCTAGAAAAATAAAAAATTACAAAGGCATTGTGTTGCTTTTGCTACTGAAAGAGTTCACCGGGCTAACAAAGAAACCTAGTGCATCAATTTCTCCTTAAAATAAATGTAGCAAACTGCAGGAAGAAATAAGCATATTAATAAGGCCAGCAACAGCTCAATATCCAGAGCAGAAAATATCCAAGGGAGACAGTAGCACTGTTGAAGAGGAGGATTACATTTCTACCACCTGAATAAGATGGTGAATTCAATGTGAGCCTGCTTGTTGGAGAACTGCAGAGAACTTCAGTGCTAGATCTGCTGGGATCACCTGGGATAACCTTGGCCAGTGAGCATCTAAAAGAGCTCTTCCACCTGACTTCTGCTAAGTGCCCTACAGCAGGTGTGAAGTCAAAACACATGCGGGCTCCAAACAGTACCTCTAGATAATGAAAAATTTACTCTCCATTCAAATTTGTCTGAGGATCTCCTCAGCCAGATGTGCCAAAAGTCTTCTGAAGTTTTTGATAATTAACATTATGCATAGAAAAACAATTGGAAATGTTTGCAGACACACAGTCAAAGTGGGGTCTTTCACTGAGTTCCCAGTGAGCCAGGGTCTGCTTAGGTCTGGGGACTTCAGGGGCTGTCCACAGGGCCAGGCAGCCCCCAACCATCCCAGTACCCCAACCAGGGAGCAGGGCACCTGGGGCAGCCCCAGCCATCAGGCACCTCCCTGGGCAAGGCACCGGCTAATATGTCCTCTAGCAACATTCAGGAGGTCACCACAAGAGCAAAGGGGTTTGTGGGCTCTGCCTTCACCTTTCTCTCCATTCCTTTCTAAATGGCTGGGCCAATCCCTGACTGCTGCTCTGCAGGCTGGCAAACCTACTCTGAGGAAACACTGCAGGAAATGCTTCAGATGAGAGGAGGTGGGATGGAAAACATCACTCAGTGGATTCTACTATCAAGTCCTGCTTTCTCAGCCTCTTCATGTAGCTGAATCACTGTGTAGCAGCAGCTCAGCTGGATTGAAAAAGCTCCCTGAGGACCTGAGACAGGCAAAGAGACCTTCACTGAGCTGCTATTTGCAGAGCTAAGCTGAGGAGAGCATGGGGTTGATATCCAAAGTGGAGTGATAAGAGAGATAAGAGATACTCATTGGTGAAGAGGAAGGATGCTAAATGGCTTATTTACAATATCACTTCCTCTTGACTTGCACATGCTATCAATATTTGTGCATGTGTGACATGCTTCTCTATTTCCCTAAAATTATGTCCATTTTCTAATAAACAGATCTCATACAATTAGAGAGAGCTAGCAGTTGGATGTTCTGCCAGTACAGGGCAGTGCTCAGTGATTTGGGACTGAGCCTTGCTCAGCCACTTGTGAAAAGCAGTCCTAGACATACTGAACCTGGCCTTTTTTGCTACTAATAGTTACCTGGCAGAGAGTTTACAATTGTCCTGGTATGTTTGCCCTGACACAGTTTGGTTCTGGACACCTCTATGAACTCTGGTAATCAAGTATTGAAAAGAGCATCAAAGACACAAATTATTTCTACTCTGAAACTGCCCCAATCTTTTTACTTTGCTATTAGACCAGCAGTAGTAAAACTAAGATTTGTTACAGAGATAATAGGAATTTTAGCAAGCCATCTAACTGAATCCTTTCAGGAAAGACAAAGTGGCAGAGCACAATTGAATGGCCCAATTAACCTCAGCATAATATCTTCAATTGGCAATATAAAAAGCAAATGCTAAAAGTTCCTCATCTAATATCATTCAATCCTCTGCCATGATTACTTATATTTTAGAAATGACCAGAGATGAGATGCAGTTTATATACTAATTCATGAAGCTTTTTTTTTCTGTCAAAATAACAGTGGCAGAAAAAAATGCAATTTGAAACTAGCCCTCAGTCTAGGAGAAATTCAACTTTTGGATATAAATAGCAGCAACACCTGCCTAACCTAAATGCTCATTTTCTTTTAAACTAGTTTAATTTAAGCAATAGAAGTTACACTTACTTTTAATGGGCAGCAGCTGTTCATTAAATTTATAATGACATTTGGGTACCCTGGTGATAGACATTCAGAAATATCATATACATAGAGACAGAAATTCATTAGTAGCACTACTGAGATGACTTGGAAATGAAATTAACTTGAAAAGAGACACTTGTTTCACCTCCATCTGCAGTTTGAAAACCTAGAGGGTTATCTAAGGCATGTAAATGCATCACAGAGTAGTATTAGCCAAAGCCCATCCTATAAAAAATCTGAAAAATTTGCACTGTGAAGACATACAGACATGTACAAGTTTTCTAAAAAATTATCATAGATTACTACCACTTAAATATACATTGGTTTCACTTTCATTTATCTACAGAGATATATAAATCTAATACAGAGTTTTATATATTACCACCAAGGCAGTGGTAAGTGCATTAGAGGTTATGCATGTGATGGTATTTTCCTGTCAGGAAACTGCTCATTTCTGATGGACCCTGGCTCTGTCCTTCTGATGATAGGTGGATTATTTTGAACAGCTTTAGTAGACGAAAGGATTGACTCACACATTATGAACTAACACAGAAATTACAGAACTCTAGTAACAAGACAGTTTTAGTCTTTTATGAATGCTGTCTCTTGGTCTATTAATTATACATTAAAATCCATTTCCAATCTCTTAGCTTGAGTCTCTTCTTCATGTCAACTCCATTTCTCCTCTCTGAAATTAGTTCTGATAGGATCTACCTGTACCATCTTACCTATACATATAAGGTAGATGCATTACAGCCCAGAGAACTCAGCAGGGGATCAGGACTAAAAATGTTATTCCTCTTGCATAAGTAAGGCAGCCAAGGTCAAATAAAGCTGCGTGTATGGACTCCGTGGCATTTCAAATAGTCTGCAGTGAGACCTTTGCAACCTTTTTTACTTCAGTGTGATTGTCAAATGTTATCCTCTGCATTTCATTAAGCAAGACTGTTGATTATACATAGGAATGGACTAGAACATAACTGAATTAGAAGAAAACTTGTAAAGAGACACACAAAACCAAACAGCACCTTTGTTAATTTGGTTCAGCAAGAATTGATGATACAACCTCCATCTGTATTATTTAATTGTGTGGATCAGTAGGAGCAGATTTATAGAAGGAAAGAGTCTGAGAACCCAACATCCACACAGTAACTCTCACAGGGTTTTGTTTTGCCTTTGTCTCCAGAGCAGACCTAGTCCAGTCTCACAGACTGAAGACCTGTTTGTGGTTGCAAGGCATTAGCTACACAGCTAGAGAGCATTTTCTCCTTCACTTTCATGCAAAAGGAATCCAGTTCAAGTTTCAAATACATGACAGGAACCAAAGCATGAGCAAAGACATTTGTTTCAAAACAGTCTTCTGATACAACATAGTGCATTAAAGTAAATAAAAAGCATATAAAGCAGGATTTTTTTAATATATAGAAGTGACAGCTCACACTGGAGCTGCTCTGAGGACTGCATCTGAATAATGCTGATAATTTAGAAGCGTTATACACTCACATAGTTCTCTGTGTATTGTCCAATTTTTCTCTGTTAAGTAAGTCCTCCTGTGGCAGGAAACTCATTGGCAAATTCTTTGCTGAAAGCAATGCTTATGTAAGTTGAAGAAAAGCACATTATCAGAAGAATGTTTTGATTAATTTGCTGTTCATTAATGATAGACCTCTGTAGTTTAGAGTAAATTCTCTTTTGAAGACAACTATAACAATTATACACAGATGTATTTTTGTAAGAAACTAGTGTTCTGAGAACATTTAATCTGAATGTTCAAACTTCTAACAAATGTTTGGTCTTTGTTTACTTCAGGTCCCCTTTTAAACTCTAGCACACAGTTGCAATGTGACTGGCAATCTGAGGTCCCAGAAGGCTTCTTCCAAGAAAGCTACAATTGCAGAGCCATAAAAAGTCTTCCTGGTGTTAAAAGGTGACCAGGTTTGTGTGTCTTATGAACCATGAATCAGAGGTAGAGAACATATATCAGCTTTAAACAGAAAACTTACAGTAATTACTTTTTCCAGCAGGTCAACTTGGGTGCTTACTATGATGTACCTTAATCTGGATCATGCTTGCTTTACTTCCAATGTCATTGCAAATCCAAAACTTTGACCCTATTTCCCTAAGTGATATGTGGCTTTTTGTGACCTTTGTCAGAATACCTAGCTTGTGTGACTGCTAAACTGGAGATATCTTTCTTTTTATCATATTAAAAATTAGTGTTCATTGTAAGCAAAATTAGTGTTTATGGTGAGGAAAAATTAAAAAATAAAATGTAGTAGCTTTGCATTTTTTTCCCCTGGGGAAAAAAAATGTTTAAATGAGGGCTTTATTTCTTTACTGCATCTGGGCATTTCTCCATTTTAAGGGGTACTGTGGTGATGAAGATATCTTGAGTGTTTTGACAACATCGACTAGATACAGGTGTTATATCACTCCCAGTAAAAATAGCTGCTCTAGTAACAACACTGTGCCAAGCTGGTACTAGGTATTGATATTTGGCCAACATAACCTGCCACTGGATAGGGTGCAGTGCTACACTTCACTGCAGTGCTGCCATGTGTGGCAATAGAAAGGCCCCTTTCATTCACTTATTTTTCTAGGGGCAAAGCAACACAGTTCTCTCACACTGGTGTATTTCTAGGTCCCTAAAGTGCTTTATGATGCTTAGGATGAGAACATGTTTATAAACATAAGTAGGCATACTCTCATTTTCTCCACAGTTTGTAATCCACCTAATCTTTTCAATAGGTTTGCCCAGAATATTTTTTTTTCTAGCACTTGGTTTCAGCTAAGCCTGGTCTGCTCAAAA